GTATTAAAGGGTCTTAGCATCAGGAAGGGTGAGAACCACTGGAGTTGAGGCTTAAGTGTCTTGATACCTCCTGAAAAGAAATATCCTCATGTTCATCGAGTACTAAGTTAAGTATTCATGGTAAATTTCCACCAGGTCTCAGAACCATCCTGTGACCTGCTTCCAAAGACAATATGCCCAAACATTAGAACCTGGCTTCCCAGAAAAGACAACAGCAAACACTGGGCTTGAACCTCACTGCAAGGAGCCTTACCTACTATAAGAACCTATAGACTCTTCCTCCAGAGTTGCATGAGGCACCATGTGGCCTTGGATGAGTCACCAGCTTAATCAGGAATAGGTGCCTTCACTCAGGCATCATGCAGTAACTGTCTCAGTCACTCCAGAAAGCTGAAGCCCTACTACACGATGTCTGCAAAAATGAAGCCTAGACCTGACTACAGCCCATTTCACCTTTCCAGCCAGTTGAAGCTGAATGGCAGATACCTGACTTCACACACTCCTGATGCTGTTTAATTCCCTTGTGACAGGGACATTCACAATCTGTCTTGTGTGTTTCACTCTTGTGAGTCTTCAAACCTTTTAAATGTCCACTAACTTGGCAAACAGTCTCCACAGGAATCAACAACAGAAACTGTATGAACAGGGGTCATCAGAAGAGCCTGCTGAGGGCAGCTGTGCACCCTGCAGATGTGGGGAAAGGAGAAGTGAGGACTGGGAGAAGGCCTCGGAGCAGTCACACTGTCAAGTCAACAGAGAAGAATCTGGAAGAACAAGACTGTAAACAACATGGAGAAATGCCGTGCACAGTTTCTCAGTCATAAGCTCAGGTGTGTTTCTTGCCAATAGCAGTTAATGGATTTGTTTTTCCGGTTCAATTCAGTCACTCATGTACTAGTCACTTTCAAAGGTGCTGGACATTTCTAATGGAGCCATTTCTAAATATACCTGAGTACACAACTGAAGACCTCTTGTGCACAGCCCACAAGAATTCTCCTTCTTTGCTGAGAGAATTAGCCCCAGGGATGAGCTTCCTAGCTGGTTATCCAATACCAAGCAAACTCATGCAAGTAGGACTCAGTGTGTGCGAGCGTGCGTGCGTGCGTGCATGTGTGTGTATGCAAAACAGTAAAACAGTAACACTTAAAGGAAAAAAGGCCATGAATTTGAGAGGGATGGGAAAGCTAGGAGGGGGTGGGAAAGAGAGGGAAAGATAAAACTGTATAATTACATTTTAATTTTAAATATTTTTTAAAAAGTGAATGTCTACTCTAACAACGATGGAACTAGGGGGACATAATAAAATACCTCTTTAGAGGAATTGATGGAATATATTTATTAACAACCAAATAAATGCATTAATAAATAACATATATCGATAAGAACATATCTCAAAATGTGTATCAATAAATCCATTAAGTTACAAAATTATATAGACATTTACATAAAACTGTCAATATACAAAATGATACTACCTATTGTTACATGTCTTCACACAGCTAATTAAATAAATGATTTTTTTTTTACATTTTGTTACCTATATAACAGTAGTTACCTCTGGGAACAAGGGGAATGGTGGCAGAGGGGACCTAGAGAAAACTTAAACTGCATCTCTTTGAAAATTTTATCTAAATGTCTTAGTTAGGGTTTCTATTGCTGTGAAGAGACATTATGACCACAGCAGCTCTTACAAAGGAAAAGCATTTCATTGGAGTGGCTTGCATTTTCAGAGGTTTAGTTCATTATTATCATGGTGTGATATGGTGGCATGCAGGCAGGCATGGTGCTGGAGAAGCAGCTGAGTATCCTACATCTTGACTTGTAGGCACCAGGAAGTGAACTGAGACGCTGGATGTGGCTTGAGCATACAGGAGATCCAAAGCCCACCTCCACAGTGACTCACTTCCTTCAACAAGGCCACACCTACTCCAACAAAGCCACACCTCCTAATAGTGTCACTCCTTTGTGGGGCCATTTTCTTCCAAACCACCACAAGTAACTATGTCAAAAGTTTACCATACCAACTGTGGCTATATATTGATACAAATGTATATATGTCAAATGGATATTTTCTCCAGAAAAATTATTCCTACATATCTAGGTGGTGATGATGAATGCCTATAATCCCAGCACTCAGGAGACAGAGGCAGGAGGATATCTGTGAGTGTGAGGTCAGCCTGGTCTACAACTCAAGTTCCAGAAGAGCCAGAGCTGGTATACAGAGAAACCGTATCTCAATAAAGCAAATAAATAAATAAATAACATTCCTACCTAACAGGGGGAAATAACCGGCATGCCAATATTTGTGAGTCTTATTTAGAGACAAGTTTAGAAGTGTGGGGACTTGAGCAGAAAAGAAACAGCACACTCATGGATTGTAAGAAAAACAATTTAACACTGTTAATTCTCAACACTCTTAATTCTCTACAGCATTTTAAGTCATCTCCATTTTAATAAAACCTTCTCTAGGACTTATTGGACAGGGACAGAGACACGTATGTTCTTGTTCTGTGTCAGAGCTGTTTCAGAGCTGACTGATGGAGACAAGCCCTAGGGATCTTGTTACAATGTAGATCTAACCTTGTATTCTTGATGAGCCTGAGACTGCCTTTCTAATGAGCTCCAAGATGCCATGCTAATAGCCTAGGAGACAGACAATAGCAAAGATCTGGAAAGTAAACTTAGGAGAAATAAGCAATAAGTCTTGAGCAGAGAACATCAGCCCTCAGGGTTGAGAAAGCCTGAAACAATACTTCAATAATTAAAACAATCAAATGGGGTCAGAGAGATGACTTTCAAAGGAACTGGGTCCAATTCCCAGCACCCACATGGCAGCTCACAACTATCTGTAACTCCAGTCCCAGGGGATCCAATGCCATCTTTTGGCTTCCAAGGGCACTTGTCATGAACATGGTACATAGACATACATGCAGACAAAATACACACACACTATATTATTTAATTAAAAAAATTCAAATGACAAGAAAGTAGATAGCTCATTTAAATAATAGTAGCAATGGGTTTACTTATTAAGTGTTTGATTAGCAGCTGGGATGGGACTCCATTTTGTTTTTTGGTTTTTTTGTTTGTTTTGTTTTGTTTTGAGATAAGGTCTCTCTATAGCCCTGACTGTCCTGGGACTCACTATGTGGATCAGGCTGGCCTCAACCTCAAAGAGAACCACCTGTCTCTGCCTCTGGAGTGCTGAGATTAACAGTGTACATCACCACCACCCAGTATCCTGTACACTATTATTTAAGGCAACACTGGTACAGCTTAGTAAGTAAAGACCTAGGATGAAGAGCCTAGAAATCCTGACCACCAGAAACTGATAAGGAGACTAGAAACATGTGGTTAAAGGAAGTACAGACTAATAGTGTTCAAATTACCTCCAAAACCCTAAAGGCACTATGAGTCCTACATATCAAACAAGTACCAAGTGGCCAGAGTCCAAGGAGTCACATTTTGAGTTCATAGGCAAAAATCATGTTATAATTGAAGCTTAACAATGAAATATTATTGCATTAGTTTCTCAGCATGGTGTTTTGAATGAGCTGTCTTCCATAAGTCTTAGGCATGTGAATACTCGTCCCCTAGTTGGTGGCTATCTGAGAAGGATTAGGAGTGCCTTTACTGGGAAAATGTCAGTGTGGGTGGGCTTTGAGGTTTCAAGAGCCCCACCATTTCATCTTAGCTCTCTGCTTTCTGTCTGAGTCTAGATGTGAGTTCTCAGCTGTTCCTGCTGCCCTGCTCCCCACTGTGGTGTTGATGAGCGCTTATTCCTTTGGAATAAACCCTTTCTTCTCTAAGTTACCTTCATCACCGTCTTCTATCACAGCAATAAAAAGGCAGCTAATATAACTACAAGTGAGAATCTTCAAGAGACTGCCTGGCTTTGTCAGAGGTCTCACAAATGAAATATCTATATGGGAATGCCTACACGGATGCCAAGTGTCTGTTATCCTAATAGAAGCAATGTTCCCTTTCAGTTAGGCCCTCTGGATCAATACTTACTGTCATCATCCACTGTATGTACTCTCAAATGTTAAGCAGCTAATGGCAAATGGCTGCCTTACCCTGTTAGGTAAGCCAAATAAAATACACCTGCTATTCCATATCAAGGCCTGATATAGGTCTAGTTAAAGAAATAAGGTAAACTTTGCTCAAGATTTCCCCCACATAAATGATTTAGTTAGAGCTGAAATAAATACAGCCAACATTAGTAGATGCTACACACAGATAATCCTAGGATCCAGGTAGTGTCAGGTAAGCCCTTGGATGACTGTTACCAGCAAGAACACAGCCTGAAAATAAGGAAGCACTAGAACAGATAGATATGAGGGCTTTTTAAAGGCAAATTCCTCGTGTAGTAACTTTAATCTACTTATATATTAATATCCAAAAACTGAATTATCCCGCCAGAGACAATCTGAAATGATGACCAATTTGACCTGAAAACTCTTAACTACAGTGGAAATGTAACAATTCTATCTGTCCATCTCCTAAAATTATTTTATTCATTTACTATCTTATAAAATATACTCTTGGGAGAATAAGTCAAAAAGAACAGAAATTAGACCCTTTCCAAGTTTACATGTTACAGAGAAGACTCAAATGGATCAACTTCAATACAAGCTGACTTCATTGCAGCCCCCATGAAGATATCAATGTAGCCCTGCTTTTTCAAGTGGGTACGTTTAACCACAATTATTACATCAACAGCAGAATGGCACATGTTTGAGCACCATTACATTCTAAATATAAAACCCTCCAAATCCATACAAGTGCTTAAAAATCAACATTTTTAGATAAGAAAAGTGCTGAAATAAAGCACGGACCTTAAGTGGCAGAAAACTGTGATAACCAATTGTTTTTGAAAAAGGAAAAGTTTGAAAATCTTATAAAAATCTAGCAAATGGTTTCAAACTAGCATGTGCAAAGAGAGCCTGAAGCAGAAGTCCAGTTACCAGTTCACAGACACTAGACAGACCCTGACATACCACAGTCCGAAGGCATTGGTGCTGCAGAAATGGAAAAGATAACTGGTGTGTCGGAGCCTGTGAATAAAAATGGGTATCTTCCAATCAGCGAGCTTCCTTCCAATGGAAAATCTGGGAGGTCCTCTATGGTCATCTTCTAGAAAGCCACCTATAATGGGAAAGGAAAACTCAGAAAACATTCCACTCCACTAGTGGTGCCTCTAGTCACAAAGATCCTGACAGCTTCGTTTGTAACAGCTGTCTAGGAGCTATGTGTGGCTTCCCACAGCCCTGCACCCGTGGTCTGCTGCAATACAAAGCTTGGAGAGATAAACTATGACAGACTTTTAAAAAGAAAGTAACTTGCCACAAAGAGATAAAAACCTGGTCACAAGGCTGAGCTAACCCAAATGGGCAGCACTAAACAAGGGCACAGTGTGACATCAGCCCATGCCACATGCTCATCACATGGGAAGACTAGTTCAGCAGGTTACCATTATTTTCTGATATCCCAGAAAACATCACTGAAAATAATTATTTCCACAAATAGAAGAGATGGCTGAGACTGCCCCAATTTGCAATGTGGGGTCTGTTTACTCCATAACAGGAGGAGTAAATAGCCTTCTCCCAAAAAACACAGGAAGTAGAAGGAATGTTTTTCTAAATTAGACCTGTGGTATACCCAGCCTATATCTCAGAAATACCATAAATGAGAGAGAAATATTAAGTGAAGCTCAACTATAAAACTAGAAACTTTGTTTCCTTTGATCTCATTCTGGATTCTCGTGTTTATTTTTAGATATATGCAAGACCAAATGACTTTAGATTATATTCAATACAAAGAATACCAGTAAGGGGGGGAAAAGGGTTACTAACAGCTTAATCTAGTAGGAGACATACCACATATATGATTCTGTGTGTGCTTTGAATATTTGGGAAACAAACACATGCTGGCTAGTTTTATGTCAACATGACAAGACCATAGTCATTTGGGAAGGACTCTCAATTGAGAAAATGCCCCAGCAGACTGGCCTGTGGACAAGTCTGTGATGCATTTTCTTGATCGATGAAAGATGGGGGAGGGCCTAGTTCACTGTGGGCAGTGCCATCCCTGGGCTGCTGGTTCTGGACTCTAATAACAAAGCAGGCTGAACAAGCCATGAGGAGTAAGCCAGTAAGCAGCTCCCTCCATGGCTTCAGAGGTCTCTCAGCCCCTGCCTCCAGGTTTCTGCTGTGTTTGAGTTCCTGCCCTGACTTCCCTGGATAAAGGACTTACAAACTGTAAAATGAAATAAACTTTTCCTCACCAAGTTATTTTTGATAATGATGCTTCATTACTGCTATAGACACCCTAAGACAGCATCTTAAACTATCAGTCCACTCCGTTCCAGGAAAATTGTCACTTGGAACTAACTGGGTTCCTTCTCACTTATTCAGACCTTTCCTCTCTGTGAGCAGAAGCCAGCAGGGACAGTGTGTTCTCTTTTGGCTTAAAGAGTATATACTTATGCACACAGGAAAGTTACGTGTTAAACAAACTAGCCTCATTCTTACCTATATTAAAGGAATCTCAATTTTTTGTGTGTGGGAGAGGGAAACTGGTGCACCCAATACATGGAATCTTTTGACATCAACCTTGCCGAATGCACAGGGATGACATAAAACCAAAGGGTTATTGTGAAATACCAGAGGTGATCTTCATTAGTCATTCCAAACAGTAAGGCACACCACTAACACAGCCCTTTCTTCTCATTACACTCTCCTATTTACAGGGTTCTACTTGCAGGCCCCTGTTTGCTTGGTAACAAATTGGGATAAATATTCCCCAAAGTAGGAAGTTTCCTTTGGAACGAAAAAACAAAAACAAAACTTAGTAAACCTCCATTACGGTTCCACATACAAGGCTGTTCTACATGTTTCAGAGATGACAAAAAGGGGTGGCTGATGGAACATGCATGGTACATAGCTTATAATCTGTTTTTAAAATGAAGTATCATTATTTTTATTACATTTGTAACAGGCCCCAGACCTTAGCACAACTGACTCCATGATAGCAGTGCCATTCAGGCCATAACTATACCTAGCATATAGACAGCACCACCCGCCGAAAGCATAAACAAAGATGTAACCCATCCAAGTACATAGTTCGGGGAAATTCTCTCAATGTATTAACCTTGTTTTCTGTAGTTCCTCTTCTGGCTAACTGTTTTTTTCACTGAAGTATGCCAACCCAGGGTATGTTTTTTGTGCTTAAACGCTCACCCTCAGAAAGGCTTGGGGCTACATGGGTCCCTGAATACATAGTGTAGTCATCAGCTGGCTAATAAAGCCTTTCTATTGGTTTAAAACAATGAAGTATTATTGATGAGCACAGGCAGTGACACAGTAGAGGACGTGTTCCCAACAGTGAGTGCCAGGAAACTTTGTCCTGGGAACTTCCATGTCCTGAGCTGAGCACGGGAAGACACAGAAAAGGATAGCATGCTGTGAGTATGCAGCTGGGAGAGCTGGGGTTTGGAGTGTTTTGGGGGGAGGGGTGGCTATGCTAGTTCTTAACTGACAGAAAAACCAAACCAATCAATTCCATAAGTTCCGGGGGACTGGCATACCAAAAGAGACTGGCATGCTTAAAATCATGTTTTAGGAAGAGTGATCCGACTATAATCACACTTCGGGGACTCACACTTGTTTTCTATACTCTTAATTTGTCAGCAAAGCGATAAAAAAATGCTGCTTGGTGTGATTCCCCCAGAGTACCTTCATATGGGGAAATAGCTCCATGGGTAAAGCATCTGCTGTACAAGTGTAAGGACTGGAGTTGAGATCCTCAAGACCCACATTAAAGCAGGGTGGGCAAAGTGGTCCACCTGTTATAACAGCACTGGGGAGGTGGAGGCAAGGATGCCCAGGGCAGGCTGGTTTCTTAGACCAGACAAATCAAAACCTCAGGGTTCAGCCAGGGGCCTTACCTTTGTAGATAAAGTAGAAAACTATGGAGGAAGACAGGTGACATCAAACTTTAGCCAGAAACACGCACAGATGTGAATATGTATACGTACGTGCACACACATAACCAGAAAGAAATAGAAGTACATTTTACACGACTGTCAGCAACTACAAGAACAAGACTACTACACACAAAATAAACATTAAAACTCCAGCTCCAAGGTGGAAAGAGAATTCATACACGAGACATGGAATCCACTTCATTATTTTACATATTTCAGGGCCAGAGAAGCCACGTATTACCTAACCCACATGAGGAACATTCTTTGTATTTTTTTTATTTTTACCTTCTTGGGAAAAAACAACAACAACAACAACAATCTCTCATTTCACCACAAGCTACACAAGTTTCACATATTCTCAAATCCTTCCCTAGAAACAATTTCTGTTATCTAAAGGGCTGTGGCACCTGGAACCTGACGGAGTATAAATATGTACTAATCTGAGTAGGTATTTTTCCCAAAAATCTCCTTTAATTAACTGGTAAAGGCTGGTTTGAAAGAAATCATCCCCGATTAACTGGGTACAACCATGCCTTACAATTTAAATAACTAGAACTAAACTCTCTAAACTTTGAGGCACCTGGGAATTCCATCTTATCACACTAACTCACACCCCTTCTGAGTAAAAGCATATTGTCACACAGCTCCAACAGCTCATGATTTTCCACGGAGCCTGACCCTGCTTTGCCCATCAACCAACATCTTCAAAGAGGTTTGGGTCATCGGCCTCCAAAGAGAGTTAACCAATGCCAAGAAATCCCTTCCAGAATTGTTTATTTCTGTGATGCTGGGGATTGAACCTGTGGGCTCACATACACCAGGCAAATGCTCTACCACTAAGCTACACCCAGCCTTTACCACAAGTGCTTGAGAGACAGCTGAAGAGCAGGATACTGGAGCTCCTCGACTATCAGGAGACCCAAGCTGTGCCCATATTGACTGGAATCAGAGCATTTCATTCAGTTTTCCATCACAGTCACAGATTTTCCTCATCCCCCAGAACAAGACTAATTATTTACACTTTACAAGCACAACTCCAACAGTCCTTTTGTTTGCCACCTATAAAACATCTGTCCACTCACCATACATATATTACAAGTATGTAAACCTTTATTCCCATGAGATTCAAAACACACCTAAGCAAATAAGGATGTAAAAGCATGGCTCCAGTGACCCTTTTATTTGCTACAGACAAAACACTGGAAAAGAAGCACTAGACCCTAGAGAGAACATCAGACACCAGAACTCAAGTTTAGTCACACGCCCAAAAAACCTAAGCTGTGCATTCCAAAGATAAGGAAATGAATTATGCCCTCCTGTACATTCCAGCCAAGGATCCTGTAGGTTGCTACAAGAAAGTACAATCACTGTACAATAAGTACTCTGACTGGGGAGAGCTGGGTGCTTTGCAAACACAGATATAAGGCACAGCATAGGATTTCTGGCCTTATAATTAAAAGCCGAGATTTCCATTGGTCTGGCTCAGAGTTTCTTAAACTGTGGGCTTAGGGTGGGGGACAAGTAAGTGTGGAGTGTCATTGGAAAAAAGTGGCAATCTGAAATAGTTCAGGTTTCTAAATGAGCAATCACCAAAAAGTAACACAAAATCAAATACATAATGTATCTGAGGTGTTTGAGACAGTGCTTATAACGTATTATCATGTGACCTCACTTCAGCCTTGGTTCTAAACACACAGTGTTCCCTTAGCATTGCACATGTGGACATGCCATTCGATGCCATCTGACACCGCCTGCAAAAGCTCCTCCCAGATGTGAGATCAGGTGTCCATCAAGGGTTGCAGTGTTTTTACAATGAGTTCTGCTCTTACAGAAATATAATGGTTTGATTACAGAAAACAAAGACTTTTAATAAGTTCCCATTGTCATTCTTCAGCATGTAGGCATCACATTAGCATATTTTAATATTAGATTTTGTTAGAACTTTGATTTTGCTAATTGCTGGTTGTGTTCTACATTTAAAAAAATCACTGGCTGGGCATGGTAGCATATGCCTTTAGCCCCAGTACTTGAGAGACAGAGGAAAGCAGATCTCTGTGAGTTCAAAGTTAGCCTGGTCGACATAGTGAATTCCAGGACAAGAGCTACACAATGAGAAGCAAAATTCATTGACAATAAAGAGATGACTCAGCAGTTATGAGCC